TCATACACATTGTTTTTCTCCCTTATGATTTCTTTTTTCTTTTATTTTCAAAATGTTATGGCAAAGACCAAAACGGGTGTACACATTACAAAGTGTTATCTAATCGGATACAAATTTATTCTATTTTATACCTTATAAAATGTAAGTTGTCTGATTTTAAAACATTCTCATCTACGTGGTTATCTCTTCTCATCAACTCAGGTGCTGCATTCACAAGATTTCAAACACTACGACTGAAGAAAGTATTCCCCCAAGTATTAGCAGATAGTCTTATTAGCTTTGGTTCATGCCAGTTCCCTACATTAGGATTTGTTGTTGAAAGATACAAACAAGTGAAAAGTTTCATTCCTGAAACATTCTACAGAATAAAAGGTATAAAGTATATATATATCACTATTCTTTATCAAAATTTAAATTCTATGATCCAGTCTATACTGCATTATGGGATATTTATGCTAATTAATGCTAATTAATTCACCTACAGTAACACATGCTACAGATGATGGCAATGTTGATTTTCATTGGAAAAGACATAGATTATTTGACCACACAGCATGTCTTGTCTTCTACCAACTTTGTATGGAGGTATGTTATTTTTACGTCTTTCAGTATATGCTTAGTAATAGTTGTCTTGCAGCACCTAGATTTAAAGTACAGCTGTCAAAACTGTGATTTACATCACATCTGAATTAAGTTAATACTAAACTAAACTTACCAAATAGGCTTTGGACATTTTGTCTAAATGGAGGTACACTATATATATAGTGTATATGTACAACCTAGAAAAAGTGTCATATGTGAGTACCAAGTTGCGAGTCGCAAGTAGCAAAATATGCCATATGCAAGTGGTAAAATGTATCATTTGCTAGTGGTAAAATGTATCATTTGTGAGTAGCAAAAAAGGACTATGCGAGGGGTAATACAAAGGCCAGGAAAACGGGTGTATGCGAGAGGGTGGAGTCATTTGCCAGTTTGCTCTATAACAAATTGCTGATGTCCCATTAGCATCAGAATCACTGGAACCTTGATAACTTCATAGGTGTCACTATGGGATGTATTAATGGATTGCTGAATTCTATTATTTTTACTACCACATGTATCAAAGTTATCTATTGTCTCTTAAGTACCTTAGTAGTAAATATTTCAAATAGTTAAGGATCGCACTTGTCACATTATTCAATATTTTTTGTATTAACTATTGATTACAATTGATATCTACTGTTTTTTATAATATTTAGAATCCATTAGCTAAAGTTATTAATGTACAGAGTCGTAATAAAAGTAAATGGAGACCTACACCTATGGATACTGTGGTAAGTTAAATCTTCACTTTATGTACAGGCTACTTAATTCAAGCTTTGTTATGTTATTTAGAAAACAGGGACTTATAGATTGACTTCCATACATCTGTGCATCCCTATCTTTATCTCTGACGTGCCTGGGCTGATCAGATTCATAATTGATATATACATTATTTATGAGTAGGCTTCCTCTTCTTAAATAAATAATTTGTTTCTCATATTTCACAATATTTTGTATCTTTTTAATTCCACCTTAATGCCTGCACTAAAATCAAACTAATATTGTGTTACAAAATTGACAATGTAATGTGAAACTGCATAACAACAATCAGGGTTTTTTCTAGAAAAAAACTGCAAGAGGGAGCACTGCAATCCATGGGTGCCACCAAGTGGGGGAGATAGGGTTCTCCCTACCTAGGTGTGGAGTTTTTGATAATTCAAAGTTAAAATGGAGCATTCTATGGCTTCTTTGGGGCCAAAATTGCTATCTGACAGGTCAAAGTTGAAGACTGTGGCCACATGTGATCCCTGGCTAATCAGAATTTTATGGTTGCCAGAGGATTTGCTCTCCAGTGTAAGGGGGTGCATGGCCATGGCATGAGGGCGCTGCGCCCCTGTTTCTTTGTTTCAAAAAATCCCTGACAATGCTTTAATGTATAGCCCTGCCCCTTTATTCCGTATTCATGGTTTCCTAGCAACTAGCGAACACAAAAGTTAACTCGTATTTTTAATTTTTTAGGAAATGGAGAAACTTGCATCAAGGAAACTCAAGATTACAGCCAAAGAAACTATGAAAATTGCAGAGAAATTATACACTAAGGGGTAAGGAGTACTGATCATTAGAATTGTTGCTCCAGGCTCATGTTTGTTTGTTCCGATGCAAGAACTTGAAAACATAAAAAGATCAACGCCATATCCTGGTTGAGAGTGTGGCCCCACTGTAAATAGGAGACTGAATGGGTCGACCTCATTGTCATGACAAAATGCATGGTTTGACCTTTTACTTAGCACAAATACCGTTAAAATCCTATTATAAACCGCGGTTTATATTACAATGTATCAAATAAAAAATTGGGATCAACATCTCAAGTTTGGGGTGCGATTTATATTAGGTACATATTGCAATCACTAAATGGGTGTGGTCATTTTTTCCCCACATCACTTGCACAAAACAAACAATACACCGTACAATCTTTTGAATATAAGCTAACTTCAATTAGGTGAAGTCGCTAATTAACCAATCAAAATGCTGGATGGTGCCCACGTGTTCAAATTACCTTAGTTTATTTAAATATGTTAATGACAGGTCACCAACTTCATGGTGAACGAAACCCGGAAGCGAGTTACCGATAATGTATTGCGATTTTTTGCCTTTGATTTCCATGGGAAAACGACATGACTTTTTTTTTAAATCAAGAAATTAGTTGTTTTCGAAAGATAAACTGAGCATTGAAAAAGAATTTAACAGTTTTTTGGTGAGAACAGCTCATTGTCGAAAACTTGCGACACACGGAGTATTGACAAAAGTTGTCACAAGACAAAAGCAGTTTCACTGCGTGTTTGACATCCTAACACTACTGAACAATAAAGAGGTGTGAATATTTTTAGGCACGTTGTCGAAACAAATGAATAGGATTAGGAACAATGTACCAGCTGGTTGAAACAAAGTCAGTCACGGTCTTGTTGAATTGGGGGTGTGGTTAGTAATAGGTGCTTTTCATGTTTTCAATTTTTGTTGAGAACTCTTTAACACTGAAGCCAAAATCGGGGGTGCGGTTACTATTAAGTATGCGGTTTATAATAGGATTTTAACGGTAACAAGAGAGACAGTCAATTTCCAGAGCTGTCATCAACACCAACAGTTTCACCATTGTTAAATGATATCAATAATTTTAGTCTCCGTTCGGACGGAGTCTGAAAACGGGGACTTATGATTTGACCTCTGTGTGTGCGTGAATGCGTGTGTGCGTGCGTGTGTGCGTGCATCTGTACGTCTGTCCAGACCTGTATCTTAAAAATGCCTGGACCAATCACAATCAAACTTCACACATACATCATACATGATATTATACATATGCACGTCAATTTGTTTCACGATCTGATTCAAGATGGCCGAATGGCGGCCTTTTTTGTGCTAAAAATCATCAAAATCAAGCATTTCTCGGCTGTTTACAGATGGATTTTGTTCAAACTTGGTATATACATTAGACATTATAGGACCTTGATGCACATCATTTTGTTTTACGATGTGATTCAAGATGGCCGAATGGCGGCCATTTTGTATTAATGAATATGGTTCTTGTGCCATATCTCTGACTTGCTTTCACTGATTATGTTCAAATTTTAAATATTCATTATACATCATGTCATAGATAGATATATTGGTTTGACGATCCTATTCAAAATTACCAAATGGTGGCCTTTTTTGTGCTGAACAATCATCAAATATCAAGCATTTATGGGTGGATTTCGTTCAAACTTAGTACATACATTAGACATTACGGGTTCCTGATGCTCGTCATTTTATTTTTCAGATTTGATTCAAAAAGGCTGACTGGCGACCATTTTGTTTTAATTATTGGGCTTCTAGAGCCATATCTCTTATAATAAATGCTTTGACTTATTATATTTGAGCATCATGTTGAATGTATTTTATTATAATAATAATTTATTTACCTAGAAAATATTTCATACAATACTCAAAATTGTACATGCAGTCTCGGTAAAATGAAATCTGAAATAGCTTAAAAGCTAGTCGAGTCAGATCCCTGACACAACTTGAATTTAATGACTTAAGTTAAGACTGACAGTAGGTTACACCTCAGTATATTTCAAATAAACAAATATGATAATATAATAATATATATATATCATGTATATACATACATTTATAATAAATATTAGTTCTATTCTAAATACTCTGACATTAAATTTTCCCGTATAGTGTTTTTGAATGTAAGTTTTTGTTTAGACCTTAAAGAAATTGATATGCTGTTCCAAAGTTTGGCCCCTAAATAAGAACTTATAAGAATTTAAATTTTATATATTTGTTATACATCATGTTATATATATATACATGTATTCAAAATGGCTGATTTTGAATGCTGTTCCAGAGCAATATCTCTCAATATGGACAAGTACTTGTTTGACGATCAGATACAAATGTCAATCATTTTAATGTTAAAAAATCATATTCCTGAAATGGTTATATTCCAGCTATATTACTATAAACAAAACTATATATCTTAAATTTGATAACTAACGGGGACTGTGCCATGCATGGCTTGTATTTTATAGATTTATTAGTTACCCTCGTACAGAGACAAATATATTTCCCAAAGAGCTTGATTTAAGGCCGCTTGTTGAAAACCAAGTTCAAGATCCTAACTGGGGTGGTAAGTATCTGTATAACATTGTCCATTGTCCACGTCAGCTTTTTACTTTTTCGACTACTTGTCTGATTGCTTCGATAATATACATATAGGGACCACAGGTGAACCTCTCACAGATTTGTTCATTTCAGGCTGATATCTTCAATTCCCTAATTTTGAAGAATATTTTTGTCATTTTTGGTATAACGTTATATTTTCTACTTCAAACACGAATCTGATTGCTTTGATATTACACATATAGGTACCTCAGGTGGATCTCACTCAGATTTGTTCATTTCATGATGATATTTTCTATTCTCTAATTTTGATGAACATTTTTGATAAAAAGTTTGATTGCTTTGATAATATACATATGGGTACTACAGGTAGACCTCTTTCAGATTTGTTCATTTTCTAACGATATCTTCAGTTCTTTAATTGAATTGTACATTGCTAACAGCGGAGCTATCTCAGCTGAGAGGCTGCTAAACTAAAGACGATATCCCTGAATTGAATGGATATTTCAATTTAGTATTTGGTTTTGATTTCTTTCAGCCTTTGCAGCGGGTGTTTTACAACATGGTCCAAATCCACGTCAAGGCAAGAAAACAGACAATGCTCATCCTCCAATACATCCTACTAAATATGGAAATAATTTTGATGGAAATGAAAAGCGTGTTTATGAACTAATTGTCAGGCACTTCTTAGCCTGCTTATCTCAGGTAAATTATCAATTATATCTCCATTACAGTATGCTAATACCGGTACCATGGATAAGTAAACTTTTTTGGATAAGTAAACTTTTTATTGGGGAGGGATGTTGTAAGTGATGTTCCATGTTGTATTATTACCTTTAGGATGCACAAGGGCATGAAACTACAGTAGAGATTGATATAGCAGCTGAGATATTCACCGCCCAAGGTCTGATGATAATTGCCAGGAATTATCTAGATGTGTATCCATATGATAAATGGAATGCTAAAATCATACCCAGGTTTCAACAAGGAGAGGAATTCCAACCAACAGCTATAGAGGTATAGGAATGATGTTCAGCTACATGATAACAATATAGTGGAAATATTGGTTTATTATGGACATATTTAAATATTGTATAAACCCTGGTCAAGTATAGCCCCTCCTCTAAATTTACATTTTACAAAAATTCATTTATCTAAACATAGACAATTGAAATGGATGATACCCTGTACTTCCCCATATTCAAACAGAATGTATTTTCATAGGGTGGCTTTAAAGATTTCATGCCCCATATTGCAATAAGGTAACTTCCAGGGGTCAATCTGGTGTCATATTTGACCTGCAGAGGCACTGTTAATGTTATTTTCTTATTCCAAAACATGCAACATTGCTTAAATTGTCTCATTCCAGCAACACAATTTCTTTGTACAAAGTATGAGGCATTTTAATAATTTTGACTGTGGTCAGCACAGATTTGTTTGCGATGTTGATACTAGAGGCCATATTGGGATCTTGATATATGTTGTTGGCCACTGTTTTCAGGCTATGATTAGTTTATGAATAAACTTTAGTTCACTGTGCAATTTGTTTTAATAAATAAATTAGCATAAATTATCACTTCAGGGATGTTTTGACTTCTATTTGTTTATAATTTTTTGTTTTTTGTGGGGATTCAAACTCAGACAACTATATATCTCTAACGTACAAGGTGTGTCTATGGTCATATTAAGTCTTACTTCAATGACCTAGCGTACAATAAAAGCAATGGCTTATGCGCACTATTATTGTAGATTATACTTACACTTAAAGGGACACTTCTAGTTAAGCCTAATCTCACAACAAATTTACTTTCTGAATTAAAATTACAGTGGATAACAAAAGATAGATTAACTTTGTAAACAACATAAACAATAGTGTCCCATGATTCTTTGGTGCAATCCATGGGATTGAGCGGTTCCCCTTTAATATAATAGTCTTTGCATGTGACATTAGTTGAATATAATTTTTGTTTTGTATTGACTGCTTCACCTAAAAGCCAGTGGCCTATTGTAATGGAAATAAATAAATTATTATATATTATATTACCGGTATCACACACAGATGGTTGATGGTGAGACTACTGCACCTCCTCTGTTAACTGAAGCTGATTTGATATCATTAATGGAAAAACATGGAATAGGTAAGTTTAATGGGTTTTTGGTGGGGTTGATTATGTCAGCAACTTGTAGGTTTGTTTGAAGTTAGTTGATGGCATAATCATGGTGTAACTGATTTTTGGAGGACTATGAACTAAAATGGCAGAATTGATGAAGTGCTTGGACAACTTGGAAGTTGTCTGTGTAATGTTGGGCTTCTCATAGGTACATGTTACCTGTGTTTTATTTGCAGGTACTGATGCCACCCATGCAGACCATATAGATACTGTCAAATCTAGAAATTATGTTGGATTAACAGACGAGGGCAGATTTGTACCTGGTGAATTAGGGATTGGATTAGTTGATGGATATAACAACATGGGATATGAATTATCTAAACCTAATCTGAGGGCTGAATTAGAAGCTGATCTTGTTGCGTAAGTAGATCAAATAGATTAGTAAATATTGATTGCTAACTTTGTTTGAGCATTCTTTCAGTGGAAGAATATGATTAAAATAATATCCGGTATTTATTTGAATTCATGCATCCATCTAAATATGGGTGATAGGTGAGAGTGAAACCCTTTCATTTGTTCTGAAATAGGCATCCTAAACAGTTGACTTTTATAGTAGAAAAAAACTTGATAGTCAAACTTGAAGGAAAGTGCAGACTATAAACAAGACTATTTTATTAATTTGTAATGAAAAGAGGGAACTGGTGGTGAAAAGGTTTCAAATGAAATCAAAATTGAACACATTGTTTAGTAGCAAACAATCAACAGTTGTACAGCCTGGTCACACCGTTTCACAGGTGAATAATTTACTTCTTAATTTTAATAATGTACAAAATATCAATACGTTGGTTTATGAAATGCAAGTAAAATTGTTTTCAATGAAATGTGCCATATTTTGTTATTGTCCATTACCAGCAACCTTTATCTACATTCCCAACAAATTTACACATAGAAATAATGTAAATATGTCTACACTGTAGACAAAATCTATCGATAATATTTCGAAACAAAGTAGGTAATTAATCTCAATGATAAAATCTTGGTGGTTTTCTCAGTAATATTATTCTAGTGCTACACACACTGTATGTCTGTGTACTAGTATGCAGCTACTACCGGGTACCATTATGTGTATATTCTGTGTTATGGCAGAGGTACATTACTTGGGGTTTGCAATGCGCATAGTACTGTATGGTGACATCATGTCAAGATCCCATTCAAGTCTCATCTCGTAGATAGCGAGACTGGTGCTGCGACCTTCTGACATGACATAGGCGGTTTGTAATAAAACAATAAAACATGTATTACCACATTCATAGTGAAAAAATGTAATACACCGAAAATGTACAGAAAATATAGTTATCGTAATCCGTCATATTGTGAGCAGCTATTTTGATTCCCAGTATCCTAGTTACCTCTTGGTATCATGTCACCGTAGTTGCAAACCCCAAGTAATGTACCTCTGGTTATGGCCATCAAGAATACTGCTACCAAGTTGAAAGTAAATTTATGGGTGGATGTAGATGTTTTGACCTCCTACGATGTAATTCTTCATCAGCTGCGGCAGATCAATAAGCGTTAATCGATGCTGGTAATGGTCTGGAAATTAAAATACTTACGGTACATTGATTGTCACCTGAAAATCAAGTATTAATATTCTATTTTAATTTGTAGAATATGTGAAGGCAGGAAAGATAGAGATGATGTGTTGAGAATACAGGTAGAGAAATACAAGCAAGTGTTTATAGAAGCTGTAGAGAAGGTAAATATTGTGTTCAACTGTTTTCTCTGGCAAGCAAAAGTGTACATACTAATGACCATTGATGCATCGTTTTTTTAATCATAATAAACTAAGGCTTGGAAGGAATTTATTTCTGATCATGAAAATGGCAAATCTTGTTTGACACACTGTACATTTTATGAATTATATTTTGTTTTTCGCTTGTAATACTGATGGTAAGCCATTTGTTAGTATTGTATACTTTTGCAATATCTTGGATCAAGGGCTAGCTACTGGTATATTGAGCCAATTTTGAGAATATATCATCCTATCATGGCTATTCCAACCTTTGTTACCACTTGACAGGTCTATGCCATAATATCATACATGTATGATTCTCTATCTGCACTAATGGAAGCTATAACTGGATGTTTATTGTCTTGAAACATTGTTTTATCACCATGATATTGAACAAACTCTGCTCATGCAACCCTCCTTCCCAAATCTGCTTACACAACCTGTGTACAGTTCATGGGAGTGGTAAATTGGTTTTATTTTCTTATTAGGCCAGTAAACTTGATGAAGCTCTCTCAGAATATTTTGGAGAAGCCCAACATTACACAACAACTGGTAGGTTTTTCTCACATTTCATGTCTGAGACTACATGACAGGGCTGTGTGACTATATTCATGTAAAAACTTAATTTGCTATCTCAGCGTCTACCAGGCCCTGCCAAACACAAGCAGACTTCATCAACACAAAGTGTTTGGATCAATACATTTTTGGTAACAATCACTATGCCACTGGTAATTGGTGACATTCCTTATATTTAATCTCTGAACACTATCTTATTAAATTTTCAACATTTTTAACCATAAATATTGAATAGTTACAGTATTGTTGTTATATTTATCAATAAAGATGTTGAGAAAATGATTTGAATATATCTTATTGTTGTAGAGATAACCCATAACTTCATGTCAAACCCTGTACGTAAATGTCCACGCTGTAATAATCCAATGGTGATTAAAACTAAAAAAGATGGTGGTTATATGATGAGTTGTACTGGCTATCCTAACTGTAAAGCTGCTGTGTGGTTCCCAGCATGTGTTGAGAAAGCTACGTTGGACAATTCCACTTGTACCCAGGTTAGTCTGTTTTTATGATGAGTTGTACTATCATAACTGTAATATATATCAAGCAAGTCACTTGTTATCAACATTTAATATGTGTCGAAACATACTGTTATCTTGGTGTAGTTTTACAAATGGGAAGTTCAATGAGGCTAGAACTGGTCTAGCAAATAAAGCTGCCAGGGCTATGTTTGGACATATCTACATCTATTCAAGGCTTGTGCAAAACCCATATTACTATATGGATCATCAATATGGGGTGTTGATAATCTGGACAACGTGGAAGGGGATAAATCGCCAGTCGAACAATTGCATATTAAATTATGTAAAAATTATTAGAAAATTTTCACCAAATCTAGTTGCAGAATAGAACTCAGCTAAAAAAAACAGGCATTTTTTTATTTGAATTTATCATAAGTTACAACAGCTGAAAAATATTTTTCAATAAATTCTTTAGATACAGATTTGAAATTTATCACTCACAATATTAAAAAGAAATATATTGAATTCTGGAAATTAAGAAAGATTGATTGGAATTTACAAAATATAGAAAACAAACAAAAATTTCTTTCAAGTGTTGAACTTCCAAAATGTAAACAAACAGAGAAGCAAAACTTTTATTTACCTAATGAGTACAACTGAAGACAACGTAGTAAGACAGATTGAAGAATATTTATATAAATTGTTTTCTATTAGGAGAGTGTGCTGACTGCTTATCATTTTAAAATATTTTATATATTTTTTTCTTATTTTCCACTTTATTGTTGTTAGTCCCCGTTCGGACGTAGTCCGAAAACGGGGACTTATGTTTTGCTCTGTGTGCGTCCGTGCATCTGTGTGTCCGTGATCACCTCTATCTCGAACATGCATGGACCGATTAAGTTCAAACTTCACTAATACATCACACATTATATGGGACATATGCACATGCATTTTTTTCATGATCCGATTAACGATAGCCGAATAGCAGCCATTTTAAGGCCGAAAATGCATCAAAATTGCACATTTTCACCATTCCGGATCCGGATCTCAGTTATGCATTGACGGATTTTGTTCAAATTTGGTACATACATCAAACATAATAGGACCTTGATGCACGTCATTTTTTTTTTGGATCGGGTTTGAAATGGCCGACTGGCGGCCATTTTGTTTTAAAGAATTCAGTTCTGGATCCGTATCTGAGACATGCCTGGATTGATCGAGTTCAAACTTCACACACACAAGGTACATCATGTCACAAATATGTATGTGCATTTGTTTCATGATCTCATTAATGATAGCCAAATGGCGGCGGCTTTAGGGCCGAAAATGCATTGAA